ACGGATGGACCGATTTCGATGCGGTTTTTTCATTTGAAAGCCAGTTTTCTTGCGGTGGTTTTTAGAAATGTTTAATTAATATCGGTCCAGGAGTGTAAGATCAGTTCTTTTCCAAAATGATTTAAGGCATTTTGGCGTATGATTACTCGATTAAGTGCTTCACGCGTGCCAGTGTAATCGTTAAATGACAATTAATTTGCGTAGAGGTTTTTTTAAATTTTTAATTTATAATTATTACACATATTTTTGAAGTTATACTTCTTTTGGCGCGTTAGGGAAAAATGATGAGAGTGAATTTAGTACAATGCGACAGGTTTAGACTATAAAGTTAGGCCTTAAATCTTATTCCCTTCAATATCTGTGTGATGTCTTTAATCAAGATATTCCGGTATTTCTATATATTATACAACACGTGTTTTATATTGAAAAAAAATAAAAAATAGTTTCATTTGTCTCGGTGTCTGTCTGTAATCAAATCTTGCAAGTAAAATTTGACCCACTTCTCAGTGTCCGATTGAGTTGAAATTTGGCACACACGTTTGATTCTCGTGACTGAATGCCGCCATTTTTAATCTAATATGGCGGACGTTACAAAATGGCAATATATCATTTCCATTGTGATCTTTATGATATGGGCATCAAATAAAAGGGCTTGATGAGCGAAACGCAATAAACAAAGTGACATCTTTGTAAATCATTTATATTTTTTACATTAACCCCTATGATATATTATATAGGTATCAAATAAAAGGGCTTGATAAGGGAGTGACATCATTATAAATCCTATATGGTGGACTCACAAAGATGGCGGATGTTGTTTTTATGTTTGTTTGATGCAACCCCACAATATGGATATTAAATAAAAGGGTTTGCTAAGAAGAATACGACTAAAATAAATACTATAAAAAAGAAATAAATAAAATACAGGTTTTTATTTAAATGCTCTAAAAAAAACTAAGTACAACTTCTTGCGTGCAAACAAAGTAGGTACACACACACTTTCTTTATTTATTGGGAATTCGATTAATTTTTAAAAGTTACTTTAAAATCGCAATTATATTTATACAAATTCCAAGGAAGAAATCGAAACGCAAAATATCGCAAACAATTCACAAGTTGCATTTAAATTACATATATGTACCTACATGAATATTTATAATCTAGTGTCATGTTTGTTTATAAAGTGAACGCGCGAAAATTGACAGCTGCGCCATTTTGAATTTTTTACGTACCATCAACTATTCATCATATGTCCGCGGCTTTTCACAACTTTCTTCCAAAAATTTACAAACTTTTTCTTCCGTGTTTTTTCTATTATTTTAATAAAAATAATTAAAACTTTAAAAGATATTCCTTGATGACAGAAATAAAACACTATCAACCTGATATTTTTAAACACAACTTATAAAACCGTAACAACATGAACAAGACATACGTACATACAGCCACAAAAATGATTGCGACCTATTTAAAAAAATCTCACTTATCACGTGTCACTTTAATTCAGTATATTTATAATTTATTATATACGTTAATGACGTTTAATATTTTTTATTATTGTTTGTTTATTTTTGTGTTGCTCGCGAGTCCGCGTCAGTCGGTGGTTGGCACTGTGGTCGACTGGTTCGTATTACCACTGGTGTAAATAGACCGGCTTTCGCTATACTCCTGTTACTGACTCACTTTGTTGTATTTTAAACTCTTAATTCGTTTATTTTCCAGTGCATTTCATGGAGATTACATTCGTTCTGAGCTTTTCATTTAACTTTTAATACACAAGCATTTTCCCGTGACTTTGCTCACGTAATTTTTTATGTATATTTATTATATCATCCCTTATTTTTCACACAGGATATACTGCCTCAAACTTTGAATTAGAATAATTGTCTTTTTAATTAAAAATATTATTTTTCATTTTGGGAACTTTAGAAATGACGGATTTTCGTACAAACCTCCAAAAACTACAAATGAAAGGGGTTTTAGGGGATTTTCTTAAATATTATTTAATATAGATATTATATATAGAGGGAATGTGTATAATTTATTTTTTTAGCAGATTAGAGAGCTACCTGTTAAAAATACTAGATAAGGTATCTCTCTGCCAAATTAAAAGTTTATAGTATTTATACTTCATGAGAGTTCATATTCAGTAAATGTTTTTTTCGCTCAATTTGTTACTAAAATATGATATTTTACTATATATTTTTTTCTTTATTTTCTTAATTTACGGTAGTATTAGTGCCAAAAGCCTAAATAACATGGTTATATAAAAAAGATTTTTATTGACCTTGTGAGTTATTTACTTTTAAATTTAAAACTTTATAAATATTAAAATCGTGTTTTAGCATATTTTATCAATAAATAACAGAGAATTTGCCGCAAAGCTTGAAAGCGTAGTTTTACTTATTGTTTAGAATTAGGTCTAATATTTAAATACGGATATGCCTTTAAAAAACAGTGGTAGCTCAGTGGTAGCGCGCTCGCTTGGGAAACCGAGTGGAGCGGGTTCAAATCCCATATATATATATATATATATATATATATATATATATATATATATATACATTTTCTTAATTTATGCGAATATTTGACATTTTAAATTAAGCTACCTTTTCGCATTTTTCGTGGATTTATTTTGATTTTTACTTCCCCACGATTCGTAAAATACCAACAAGTATTGTAAGGTGCTTTGGAGTCATTTTTGTATTTTGGAATTCATTTTGTAATTTTGTGGGTATGCCGTCTCTAACAACTACGATACCTTTGAGATGTCTAAAACTTTAGTCTCTCCCGTGACCATGACTGCTGTAAAGCATTCGAAATGTCGGGAAACAAAAATCAAAATAAATCCACGAAAAAATCCAAAAAGGTTATTTTATTTAAAACAGTTTAATTTTTAATATATGTTACTACATTAACACACAGCACCATCTAGTTCCATGGTAAGCTACGAGGCTTGTGTTATGGATACCAGATAGTTGATACACTACACATATATATAACTCTACACTACTACAACTACACATATATATAACATACATATTATAAATATAAACACCCATGACTGGAGTACAAACATTAGTGCTTATCACACAAATAAATGCCCCCAGCGGGACTCGAACCCTCGACCGTTGGCACAGCAAGTAGGGTCATTACAAGCTGAGCCAAACGTGTCTTAAAGTGTAATTTTTTTTTACCTAAAAGCCTACTTTCACAGAAAAAATTCTAACATAACTAGTTATGTAAATAACTGTATTGACCTACGGACTTAACTCATAAGCCACATTATAATATCGATTGGTTAAGCAGCTACGACCCAAGCCGCTAACCGGTTGGTGTGCATTTTTCTGATTATAACTAATTTTGGCCTAAAATTTTACTCGTGCAAATATATATTAACTGTCGCTCACCCTTGCTTTGCTTGGATGCGTTTCTAGGTACGTTTTAAATAGATGTCTTATATTATTAAACGAGCAATTTTTGTATATACTATATTTATACATATAATAAAATTGTAACTGAGCCGAATCTGTACATTAAATATTTTTTGGAAAATATTATTGAAATAGACACTATTATCGATACAGAGGCCGAATCTATAGTTTTTAGAATTTGTGTCTGTCTATCTGTCTGTCTGTCTGTCTGTTACCGCATCACAGAAAAACCACTAGAGGGATTTTAATGAAATTTGGTATGATGATAGCTGGTTATCTGGGTCAACGTATAGGATACTTTTTACCGCGGGAAAATGTCTTATTTTTGAGAAAAATATAAAAACTGTAATGTAAGAGTATACTAATATGAAAAACCTAAGAATTTGGTTTTTGGTCATCTGAACGCGGGCGGAATATGGTCGATAATTGCGCACACTCTTGCAAAAACATCATGGTCAAGCGGCCAAGGCGCAACAATGACAATCACAGGTATTCGGGTTCGAATCGCGGTTCGATACTAAGGTATAATTTTTTTTTTGTTTTTTTTTAAAGAAAATTGTACCTCTGAACAAAAACTCCGAGTGAAGCTCGGTGGCCCAGGTACTAATATCTAAATAGTTATTGCGAGTGTACCTTATCTATTATTATCTATAAACTATATAAAATTAAAATTATTACTATTACTTATTAATTATATAGCTGACCATTATAAATTAAGTTGGAACATCGATCTATATTGAGTGATAAGATATCAATGTTATCATTGATAAGGGACTACTTGTCGCGATTTTGGAGTGACCACTAAAACTTTAAACTTTTGTCATTTCTGTATAAATATATAATTACTAGCAACTCACCCTCGCTTCGCTCGGTCTAGTCCCTGTTACGTTTTAACGGTTGTATGGAATATATAAACTATATATTATACTAGCATTGCCCGCGGCTCCGCCCGCATTCAGATGACCAAAAACCAAATTCTTAGGCTTTACATATTAGTATACTCTTACATAGCAGTTTTTGGTTTTTTTCTCAGAAATCAAACATTTTCCCGCAGTTAAAAGTATCGTATATGTTAACCCAGATAACTAGCTATCATCATACCAAATTTCATCAAAATTCCTCTAGTGGTTTTTCTGTGATGCACTTACAAACTGACAGACAAAAATTCTAAAAACTACAGATTCGGCCTCTGAATCGATAATAATGTTTATTTCAATATAATTTATTATATATAATTATATCCTTTACTTGAGAAATGATTGATTTTCCATACAAAAAATCTATACGTCCTTTCCAGGCTCTCAAACTATCTATATACCAAATTTCATCTATATCGGTTCAGCGGATTAAGCTTGAAAAGGAAACAGGCAGACAGAACAGACAAAGTTACTTTGCGTTCATAATATTAGTATGGATAAATAATCTGCCTGGTAGATAAGAAATGATAGAATTTTTATTAAAAAGTCCTTTGCTCTATAGTTATCGCAGTTGCATTATACAATGTTGATAAATTGTCAGTTTAAGTTTGCACTTTGTGGATACTGAAAGGCTTTACTTGAAAAAAAAATGTGGGGGGTACGTATATAAAATTTATTTGTCAAACTTCTGTCTGTGTTTTTTTCATTCTACGTGACATTGGCGAATTAAATACTGCCCATTTTAAATAAAATTACTTACAATATCAAACCTTTCCATATTCAATTATAAAACTAATTATAATTATGAAAATGTTTAAAGTTAAAAAATATTGTAAGCTACTTTGGTGCCGTTTTTCAATTTTTTTGGTTTCATTTTGTTATTTATAGGTAGGCTGTCGGTTACAACTATTAAATAATAACTTAGAGACATGTAACACCTCAGTCTCTGCCGTGACCATGTGCGCTGTAAAGCATTCGAAACGTCGGGAACCAAAAATCTAAATAAATTAGCGAAAAAATCCGAAAAGATAGTTTTATTTAAAATGTCAAATATTCGCGTAAATCTAAGAAAGTATTAAATACTGCCCAAATGGCATTCTTAGTTAATTTTTTTGGATTTTTTCTTGCGTATTTACTAACTTAAGCAAAAACAAAAATAAATCCTTTCATTATTTATTTTGGTCTCTTGTTAGGTAAGTTTTTGGAAAATATAGTTTTATTTAAAACTAGCAACTGAGTGCCGTTCCACTCGAGCTCGTCCCTCGTTACGTTTTAACATTTAAAGACAATATATTTTCCCGCAGTAAAAAGTGTAAAAGTAAAAACCAGCTATTTTCATATAAAATTTCCTTAAAATCTGTCCAGTAGTTTTCTCGTGATGCGTTCCCACAGACAGACTAACAGACAGACAAAAATTCTAAAAACTCGATTCGGCCTCTGTATAAATTACCTATTCATATAAAAAAAACTGTGTCCAAATTTTTTATTGATAACACTAAAGCAAGTCGATGGCAACTAAGCAAATGAAAAGAAAACCGATTGACAAACAGACGTGAAAAAGGTACTGAGCTGTTTTATTTAATACTAGCAATGCCCGCGGCTCCGCCCGCGTTCAGATAACCAAAAACCAAATTTTTAGGTTTTACATATTAGTATACTCTTACATTGCAGTTTTTGTATTTTTTCTCAGAAATGAGACATTTTCTCGTGGGTAAAAGTATCCTATATGTTGACCCGGATAAACAGCTATCATCATACTAAATTCATCAAAATCGCTCCAGTGGTTTTTCTGTGATGTGGTAACAGACAGACAGATAGACAGACAGACAAAAATTCTAAAAACTATAGATTCGGTCTCTGTTTCGATAATAATGCTTGTTTCAATAAGATTTTCCAAAAAATATTTAATGTACAGATTCGGCTTAGTTACAATTTTATTATATGTAGGTATAGATAGATATTAGATTAACCTAAAGCATAAATTTGACATTATTTACAAGTCCTCGGTAGTATAGTGGTAAGTATCCCCGCCTGTCACGCGGGAGACCGGGGTTCGATTCCCCGCCGGGGAGGATAATTTTTATAATAAAACTTTTTTTTATACTATTTAAATAACATCACGTCTGTGTTTATTTTTACTGATGCCACAACATTTTTATTTTTTGACCGACTTTGTAAAAAAGAGGTACTCACTTTTAGACTGCATTTTTTTATGTGAGTGTACTTTTTGTTTTAGCCAATAGTGAAACGATTCTCTGATTATTTTTTAATGAAAACTTCCACATTTAACTACTTTTAAAGGGATTTTGTAGTCTACATACTTAATTAAAAAAGAAAAAACATGTTTCATTATATTTTATGAACACTAGACAATCTTACTAATACTATATAGATATGAAAGTTTAGATGTTTAGATGTTTGTTACTCAATCACGCCAGTACGGCTGAACGGATCTGGATGAAATTTGGTACATAGATTATAGTCTGGAATAACACATAGGCTACTTTTTATCCCGGAAAAATGTACGGTTCCCGCGGGATAGTTTTTTTTTGTTTTTCCCGAAAGGCGAACCCGAGCGAGGTGAGCCGCTAGCAAATAATAAATTATTAACATAATTATAATATTTGACGACACGTTTGGGTCAGTTTTTAGTGATCCTACTTGCTGCGCCAGCGGTCGCGGGTTCAAATCCCGCTGGGGGAATTCATTTGTGTGCTGAGCACGAATGTTTGTACTCCAGTCATGGGTGTTTATAGTTATAATACGTATGTATTTAAAAGTTATATATGTATAATGTATCAACTATCTGGTATCCATAACACAAGCCTCGTAGTCGTAGCTTACCATGGAACTAAATGGTGCTGTGTGTAAATGTCCTGACATATAAAAAAAAGAAAAATAATTACGCATAAACAATAATACTAATAATACTGGAGTATCTATCTTTCTTTTATATTAAAGTGGTATTAGTGATATCTTTTGAACAGGGTAGGCACTTGTTGCAACATTGTTTGGGTGATACCACAGATTATATAATACTTACTATAGGTGATACTTACCGCTATACTACCGAGGACTTCTTGCTTGTACAAATTTTAAAGTAATTATATTTTTAAATTTATTTCTTTACTAGCATTGCCCTGCGTTCAGATGTCCAAAAACCAAATTCTTAGGTTTTACATATTAGTATAGTGCAATGCATGCTCTTACAATGCATTTTCTCAGAAATGAGATATTTTATGATATTATATGTTGACCCGGATAACCAGCTATCACCATACCAAATTTCATCAAAATCCCTCCAGTGGTTTTTCTGTGATGCGGTAACAGACAAACAGACAGACAGACAAAAATTCTAAAAACTATAGATTCGGTCTCTGTATCGATAATAATGTCTATCCCAATAAGATTTTCAAAAAAATATATTTAATGTACAGATTCGGCTTAGTTACAATTTTATTCCGTCTATCCTAGCACCCCCCCCCCTGCCCGCTGTCGTCCTACTAAAATAAAAAGCTCGGTGCGCTCTCAACTCGGCATTTTTAGATTTTGAAATATATTTATTCCGAAAATTAAATTTCAGGATGTGAACGTCGTAGACAATTCTGGAGGAGTCAACGTGGTTGACTACAATCCTTCTGAAGTCCAAGTGGTAGATAACAATGACTCCGGAGTCATTGTAGTCGACAATAACGACTCGGAAGTCCAGGTGGTCGACAATAACGACTCGGGAGTCCAGGTGGTCGACAATAACGACTCGGGAGTCCAGGTGGTCGATAATAACGAGTCGGGAGTTCAAGTGGTTGACAATAACGAATCAGGAGTCATAGTGGTGGATAACAGCGATGATTGGGATACACTTCGTTAATTAAAGGTGAGATATAAAGACTATATCGGTACCTAGTGCCTAACATTTAAGAGGCACACCATGCATTTGTTTGCGGTCAGGAGGACGTTATATTTTGTTTTTTTTTCAGATAAAAGAGGCTGAAGTCAAGATTTTGTATTTTTGTAATTATTTTTTTAATAATTATGATATAATCATATACATATATTTAAATAATGTTTTTATTTTTTACTTAAATAAAAAATATTATAGTATTTAATTATAGTTTGTTATTCAAATTATAGCACCTGTTAAAAGTCATCACTTGAAAGGACAGGAGATTATTGAAAATTGAAATTAAAAAATATATTTTCATGATAATTACTTATTTTGCCGCTATATATAAAACTTAAAAGAAACATATTTTTTTGAAAATAATTCTTCAATTTTAAAATATCTTACAGGACACCGGATAGGTTATTATATTTTTTGATAAAATTGTTTTAGCCTTAATGTTAGTAAGACAGTATGTAAAATAAAATTTCTCCACCCGTAGTCTGTAGAATGTTAAAACAACGATACAAGTATAACAAATTATTTGTTAAATAGATTTTATGAATTGCGATAATGGTTTAAGCTCATAATATATATTTTTAATATTTGTTGAAAAATTAAAATAAAGCACTTACCAATAAGTAAAAAACTCGGATAAATCCATACAGTCTACGTCCTTTCGTCCCAATTCTTCAGCGATACCAGAATCTACATCCTCTTCAGAACTGCCATCATTCTCACTATCCGAACGCACTACGCTCATTGCGAGTATCCGAATTCAAAATGACAGTTGTGTGACACTGACAGTTGTGGTGTTGTCACTTGTACTATTTAGTTTTAATATTTTCCTTTTTATTATTTATTTATATATTTTTTTATATTGAATTTTGATATGTGTAGTTGTTTTAGAATATTGGAATTTAGTGAAATATTATTTCTTTTTTTTAAATAGTCGTAATGAACCTGAAACAAAATTATTAAATTTATTACAAAATTATTTCTAAACAATAGTTTTATCGTTAAAATAACTCTTATCAACCCATTTTGAGGAAATTTCATTTAATATGTTGATGACTGAAGTGAATATACCTGCCCACATCTACCTCAGCCTTCAACTTTGAAAACAAACTATACCAGAATATTAGTAAATGTTAATTATATATCACGACGACACGTTTGGCTCAGTTTATAGTGACCCTACTTGCTGTGACAGCGGTCACGGGTTTGAGTCCCGGTGGGGCATTCATTTGTGGGACGAGCACGAATGTTTGTACTCCAGTCATGGGTGTTTATATTTATAATATGTATGTCTTTAAAGTTATATATGTATATCTGGTATCCATAACACAAGCCTCGCAAGCTTACCGTGGACCTAGATGGTGCTGTGTGTTAATGTAAACAAAAATTTTTTTGTAAATATCTTCAGGAATTTCCTTGGGACTTTTCCGGAATAAATTATCTGAATGATAATGGAGGCGATATCGAAATCCATGGCATAGTTTAGAAGAACTAAGACGTGGGTAGCGTTTTTTTTTATTAAAGACATGAAACACACCTAACTTTGAATAATATTTAGGTCTGCGTCTAAAAACCTCTAATCAATTGATTGAACCAGGAAGCTAACGCCCTAAATGCATGTAATTGTGTCGTTATAAATAAGTGGCTCGCCGCGGGGAAATGTCACCACCCCGTGCCAACGGTGAGGTAACGGAATATTGACGATCGCTATTTTGTACCTCATAATTTTGATAGCTAGATCCGGTTTGCTCTTTCTTTTATATATTAGATAATATAGAGCAAGACTTTGCTTGCTTGTTTGTTTGTTTGTGTGTTTGTTTGAGCGCACTAATGTCTTGAACTAAACTTTGGTATGACTAAGTCTATATAGGAAGTAAAATTAGAGTATTTTACTTTTAAAGTTAGAGTACTTTTGGGTAATATTTTAAAATTTTGTTTTGTAATTAGTTTTTGTACCGTTTTCGTAGTAAACATAAGAATATTTAACTAAAAATTGATATAGCGTGGTTATCTATAGACTTATCTCCTTAGAGACTCGTGGTCAGCCGTGAAATATTAAAATAGCTGACTTATTTTTTATTAATATTATTGTATCTCCTATGTTACATACTACACAAAATGAAAAAATTTTTAGGCAGACGGAATTTTCCTCATCATCATCAATTCAGCATTTCTCAAATTGTGTTATCAAGAAAATCTTGATATTGCGAAGTTAATATAATCAACATAATATAAGTATTATTAAATATGAGAATATTTAAAATGCAAGGAATATGTAGTGAATCCATATTAATATAATATTATTATAAATGCGAAAGTAACTCTGTCTATTCACGCTTCCACATCCACTGAACCCATTTAGATGAAAATTAGTATGGAGATAGTTTGAGATCTTGGGAAGGGATAGTTTTTATTCCAGAAATCATCCCTTAAGAGGGTGAAAGGAGGTTGAAAGTTTGTATAGGGAATCAATTAGTTCTCAAGTAAGGGATGTAAAACTCATCATATGTATGTATTTATAGTCTATCTATTCCATACTAAGCGTTAAAACGTACCTAAAAATAAAAATAAAAATAAAATAACAATATTTTAAAGCGTTAGTGTATAGCAACAAACATCTGGCGTTGACTCAAGATGTCTCGTTGCAAAGCTTACTTGGTAGTACAATAAAACAAATATATAATGCAAATTACATACTAATGACTCATCAAAATAAATGATAACCAATAATAAAATGCATCATTTAATTTAGTCTGCCAAATGTCGACGAAATCTCTTTTGTATTTATAATAGTAAATGTCTATCTCTTTTGTTAGCGGTGAGCGGTTTTCCTATCGAAAAGTTGCAGGACTAACTTCGACCTATCTACGCTTTTATTATAAAGAGGAAAGGTTTGTATTTTTGTATGTTTGTAACGAATAAACTCAAAAACTACTGGACCGATTTTAATAAAATTTGCTAAAAAGATAGTTTCAGACTCTGGGAAGGACAAAGGATATTTTTTATTCTGGAAATTATTCCTTGAAGGGGTGAAAATGGGGATGAAAGTTTGTATGGGGAATCCCGCTACGGATGGACCATAGCGAAGCGAGGGTGAGTCGCTAATTATATATATATATATATATTCTGTATATAATGCTTATCACATCACAATACTATTACATAATGTTTGTATGTATGTGTATATTTATTACACCTTTACGCTGAAACGGGTAGTAAACGAGATTGAGTCGCTAATATAAGTTCAAAAATGAAATGATTAGAATGACTGTTGAATAAGTACCTATAGTGATGTGAGCTACTGTCGTTAGTTGCGAAAACAACCACAACCAACATTGTTAACGTTCAAAAATTAAAAAAAATAAATAAAAACCGACTTCCAGGCACTAAAAAGTAAAAAATAACTAAACTTGGGTTTTCACTTAGAATAGATACCTAATCAGATATTTTCGAAGTCGGTGCCAGCCAATACAAATCAAAGAAATCGGTTTTTATTAAATTTTTGAACTTTGTATATTGTCATTTTTAGTGTAGACGTAATAAGCAGGTAATTTGTAAGAAGAAAGATTTTGAAAAACATATTCGATTAAGCCGTTTATTCAGACCCCTAATGACACAAACAGTCAGAACCCATCTAGGTGTAAAGTTCTCATCAGTACAAATTAATCAAGCCCAAGCACCAGGTAATTGCTGTAAGTCATTGAGGAGTTCCCTCGATTGTCTTTCGGCTCTATCATAAGATCGACTTCAGACCTTCATTAAATAGAAGTGCTATAAAATACTTAATGAAAAAAATTAACAAACGCACTAGTCGCGACTACGATTTTCGAAGGTTCCACTCGATTTCTCTGGGATGCCATCATCAGATTCTGGTTTCCTTATCATAGTAATACCCTTGGGATATCTCCTTCCCAAAAAAAAAGTATCATCAAAATCGGTTCATAAACGACAAAGTTATCCGCGAACACACAAAAAAAATATATACTGTCGAATTGAGAACCTCCTCATTTTTGGAAGTCGGTTAAGAAAAAACACCGTCGACAATAACGAAAGAAATTTTACTGCTATTTTTATGTTTAAAAATTAACATTAAAATAAAATAATCTGCACTTGATATTGGAGGAATTTAGCTGAAAAATTAGCTGAAAGTTTTTTGTAAAAAGAAATTATATAATTATTATCATAAATGCAATTGTTTGTTTTTGTTCTTCGAATTTCACTTGATTTTTTTACACTCCCTATGTTTTGGGGTTGCCAGTATTACATAAAAACACTCATTCGTCATTGATCTGTCATCAAAACCGACGCAGCTGTTTGAATTGGCAATATATCAACTTTACGATTGTAAGTGAAAGAATGTATGAGAGGTTTGACACACATTTATCAATGCTGCATCTATTTCAATGATAAATTACCTCTTTATAATATTTATCTTGTTTACGCTATGTATAGATAAAAAAACTTACTACACCTCACAGATTTAATAAAATTGTCATGTTCTTTTATAAGATACTTATAACTAATTTATGTTTGAAAAGTAGATTCGACGATGCAGTTTAATATTTCCGAATATTTACATCTTTAAGGACATCCGAAAACTTTTTATTGCATCCATACAGTCGCATTAGTAAAAGTAGCTAAAAAGTATTAATTTATTAGAGAAACAAAAAAAACGGATGAATTTCATTTAAAAAAGCAATTAGATACTTTTTGTATGTGCATAATTTCAAATATTGTAGTAATTTTATCGATCAAACTTAGTTCTGCAACTTGCGTGAACGAAGGTGATTTACTTATAAATATTAACACATAGGCTACTTTTTCAATGTAATATGCGAGCACAGCCGCAGGTAAGAACTAAGGCTCTACAGCAAAATTGCATTCCTGCCCGGTTTAAATATATCAGGATGAATATCATGCTTGTTTTTGTCTACTAAAAAAAAATGACGCATAGGTAAAAAAATAAT